TCTCTGCAGCCTCAAGGGAGCTACTATTTGGTTTGTAGCCCGTCTCTGTTGGTGGCTGTGGCAGTCTAAATGTAGTCAACTGTGCTGTCTTTCCTCCTTGAATTGCTCAGGTAGCACATTGCTGTCAGATTGCCTGTTATAGTTGCAGTGGCAGATGTTTTATTCTGTTATTTGGGGGTTTTTTTCTGTGTTAACCCTCCAATAGTTCCTGAAGCCCGGGCTTAGGAAGTATTTGGTGGCCCTTGCCTTTGCGAGGCAGTCAGCCAAGATGTATTTTTACTGATGGTTTCTCAGGAAGTCACGTTGCGTACTTGGGTTAGAAGTCATTTCGGCTGTTGGCTGGGACATTTTGTAGACCAGCTTTTGCTCTGAAGATCCTCGCACAGGATTATAGGGGTAAAATTTGGCCCTTAGGATCCAGTGAATGTTTTCTGCCTGAAATGTGAAGGACAGATTCTCAGGGCATACCTAGGCTTTGTGAAGTCTGTGGCCAGCACAAGACATCACTAAATATTTTCCTTGGTAGAAGCTGCTAGCCATTCAGCTTTGTTTCAGGGAAGATTACTTGTTAAGATAAAGCTCTATACTGGGTAGGAATTTTCTATACATCCACACCACTTCATCAAGATTAACTGGATTAAAGTGGTTTAACTGAAACCAGAATTTGACCTGCAATACCAGCAGTGTGTTGATAGTACCACTTATTAAAGAACAGAGTCTGGAAGCATTTGGGTTTTGCAGAACGTGAGGGACTTTGTGCTGACACAGTTAAACAGCTGGCTGGTGTAACCCACTGATTCTCTGGGCAGCAATAGCTGTGAATTCACTGCTAGAAATCCAGCCTGACCCTGAACATCTTGCTTAATAGGAGTGCATGTAGTTTGAGAATATTTCATGTAAACAACATGTTACTAGGAAAAGGGATCTTTGAATGTGTAAATGTTGATAGATACTGAGTGAGAGGCTGAAGCAATGTGAGACACTCTGCTGAAGCAGAGGATATGAAGCTATTTTAGCCGTGATTATGAGATCAGATGAGCTCTTGCATTCAAGATTAGAATCTTCCTAAGAGAAATGGTGTTGGACTGGAAAACTCAGTTCTTATTTTGGGAAAGAGGAGAATCCCAAACATACCTATGTGACAATCTGTGCAGTGGAAAGCCTGCTGTTTTTTTCTCGGTTGTGCTGCACGCATCAACTGCATTTGCTGAGGGAAACTGTGAAACATTTTTTAATCTTGCTGAGTACAAAGATGGACCTTATTAGGTAAATGCAAGTTGAGACTGTTTGCTGGATAAATTACAAAGTAACCTCGGGAGATGCTGTTCTCTTTAAAGAGCAGTTTGTGCTGCATTCACCCATTGCTGAAGAAGATTAACACTGTCCTGTTCCTCATCTGGAGTGGTGAGCGTCATTGTTCCCTGTTCTTTGGAGAGCAATGCTGATGTGCTAGCATGATGTTGTACCTGCCTGCCTTCGCGTTCCATCTGTTGAGCGATTCCCCTGGTATCCTCATGCTAATTGCAAAAGTCTCTTCTGGAAGTAGCGGATAGGTTCCTAATCTGTTCAGACACTTCCTCTCCATGTATAAATACCACCTCTTGGGAATGTGTAGAGGTGTTTCCAAGACCTTCTAGCACCTCAAAACAGTTCTGAAAAAGCATTTTACCTCCTACTCCAGGTAGGAGCTGCATGCAGCTCAAGTGCATGTTGTCTGCGTGTGTCTTCAGGTATCACAAGGACTGCAGCCAATCCACAGCACCATCTGCCAGGATCAGGGCCTAACTATTAGCTAACCATTTAGCCAAGTAAAACAATAGATTAAACTTCTTAACATCTTTAGTTAAGAAGTTTTATTATTATTGTGATTAATTCTATTTATATGGCACTATCAATAAGCATGCCACTTTCCAGAGTATATGAATGATTGCATTCTGTTTTCATTCTTTATGGTGCTGTTTTTATTGTCATATTAACTATGTTTATTCTCAAAGTTGGTTTCAAAAAGTTTGTACCTACAAAGTGTGATTTTTCAGGCTTTTATGATTGTTCACGCAGAGCTGAATAATAGCATGTAAATGGTTTTTATCTTTGCTACTTTGTGCCAAATTAGATTATTTCTGTTTAATCTTCTGTCATTAGCTTTCTGCAAAAGCAAATGCTGCAGCGTCACTGTTGAGATATGTCAGACAGGTGACCTGGAGGTGACAGTGCTTCTGAATGGATGTACGTAAGACAAACCATCTCACACAGAAGACAAACCACTTTTAAGAGTTTTTGCTGTGAGATATGATGATGATTTATGATCAGTCACCCTGAAAGTTCCTCTTGAGGACAGAAGCCACTAAAAACTCTGCAGGTCACAGATCTGGTGGTGGTATACATTTGTTATGACTGCGCTGGCTCAAGTTTGCCCCAACTCCTTTCTTCTTCAGCTTCTTGCATGTACAAGAAGGTACATTCTTGATTCCTAGGGCTGACTAAGTGACGTGTTCTAAGAACCACAATTAATTTAAGCGAAGTGTTGCTTTGGAAAGGTGTTAAATCAAGAGCAACTGTAGTGGGCAGGATGGCAAAGAGCAAGTGGGCAGCACACAGTCCTGCTGCCCTTGCCAAGTCTGGCAGACATGGCTGTCATTGCCAACGCAATCGAGTTGCTTGTTGTGCCAGACTGCCTTCCACTTTTCTGTCCCGGAGGGATCCAAGCAGGCATTTCATGCTCACAATTTAAATTGCTCTCATCTGACTTCAGTGGGTGTTTTTGATGCCAAGATCCGGGTGCTAGTAATAGGGAGTACCCCATCTCCTCAGCAGTCCTGCTGATGGATGCTCCACCACACAACCCCTCTCCTCTCCAGCACAGCTGCTGCAGTTTCTGTGGAGTTCTTATGGATGGCAGGAAACCATATGCTGAAGTGTTGCTCAGCCTGCTCGTGGGGAGTTTCCTACCATTTGGAAAATGTAAATTCAGTCCCGTCCGTCTCCACTGAATCTTAGCTTGTGTTGACTGGGAAATTCAGAGTAATATGTAATGCTTCAAAGTAATGAAGCAAGAAATTAGCAGTATGTATTTTAATTATTATTTCTACTCCATAGTAGTAATTTATGTTTAATTGTATTTTACCACTGAGATGTGCATGCTTTTCATTCTTTTTCATTACTTTTTTCTTTCTGTGTCTCTTTTCTCTATCAACTTTTAATTTACTCTGGCTGTTTGCACTTGGCAGTACTTCATGAAGGAGATAAATGTAAATACATTCATTCAGATGAACAGACTCTTCAGAAATGTATTTGGAAGATGGGGGATATGGAGATAGATGTTGGAGAATTTTCAAGAACTGCAACAAGCAACATGCCAGTGTGTTTTGCTAAAGTGACTTAAGTACAGGCTTAGAAAAAAAAAGACTTCCTGTCCCTAGCAGTGTTCTTATCAGGCTGTTCCAGTAGCATGTTCTGAGGCTGTTTGGCTTTGTCCATTCCTGCTTTAACTTTAGCTCTGACTATGAACAAGAGCTGTGAAGCAAAGGGAAGAAGGAGTTAAACACTCATCCACCTTTTGATCTTTTGCATTTCCCCAGTTCTTTAATCCTTTCATCCCCCTGAAACGAGGGTCAGGTGATGGTGCTGCCCCATGGAACATGCAGCATCACACCTGCCGCTTGTGGGAGATCCCCATGTGCAAGGGAAGCCCCTGAGGTTTCCCTTCTTTGCACAGCTTGAGCTGGACAAGGCAATAGCTTGAGCGAGAGAAATTACCCTTCAGCATTAACATGGCTTTCACGCTGCAGAAAACCAATCTTCTGCTCTGCTGTTGCAGAGAGGAGTTGTAGCTGTAGCCTCAAGAGGTTTCTTGGGTTTCAGGGATCTGAACACAAACCTGGTTTGAGAGAAGGGTTGGATCATAGCACTTCTGTCTGGGTCTAGTAGCCTTGCCCCTGTTAATTTTGGTTTTGATTTCTTATTTTGTAATCACACACACTGTACTACAGGCAAGCATCAGACCTTTTTTTATGTAGTGACCTCCTCCATCAAGTACTGCACACAGAAGTTGGCAGGCTTTGACCCATGTTGGAGCTTGCATTGCTTTCAAGCACATTGGGAAAATGTTTATTTTCTGTAACTTTTGTAAACTTATTACTTACTCTATCTGTGCAGCTCACATTCTACTAAGCGTTCTACTGGGAGAATTTATTGGAAGCAAGTATGTTTGGGTTTCTTCATGTTCCTTTTGTTCTTCAGGATACATAATGAAGAATTCTCCAGCTTTGACACTTAATTGCTTCATGGCTGTTGTTTGTCAATTTGCCAGCAGGTTTCTGCTTAACTGCCATTTGACATTGCTGAAACACAAATGCAGAATGATTGAGTTGCCAACATATCATTGAGTCTTCTGCAAGGGGGATTTTCAGCATATTAACGCTTCAGGCTTTTACGTCAGTATTGATTGCTGAAATTGAAAAGAAACCTTTGGCAGTATTCAGCATTGTGCCAGCATGGATTTACTGGCAGGAAAAAAACCTGGCTGTTGCCATTGACTGTGACTTCATCCCTTCCTTCCTGTCTTTCTTGCATTCTTTATTCCTATACACACCCACACAGTTTTGAAATTTAATGCACATTGTGGTGAAATGCCAGTTAGCCTCACAATAAATCAACACAGCAAATCAAGTACTTGATACAGTCAGATGTCAAGGCTGTTTAATTTTGCATCCACCTGCATTATGCCTGATCAGATTTCATGGCAGCTGGGGAGGGGGTGATGGCAGGCGTCCCTCGGAGTGGAAGTGCAGGTCAAGGGCTGACTTGGAGGAAGGTAGTGGGGTGGTGGTCTCTGCCAAGCTACTCACAGGGCAGCCAGGCTGCCACCACATCGGTCCCTGGATGCCCGAGTGCCATTATGGAGCTGGATACCGTGGGGAGAGGAACAGCCTGATGCTGCTGGGGCCAGGCTGGGAAAGTGAGTTTCCCTCCCTGGACATAGAGATGCTGAAGATGCCAACATGGGGCTCACAGATGAGCTTAGGTTGCGGATCCACAGGGACTTAGGCTACAGAGCAGGGCATGAAGTGCATGGTGAGGGTGTAGTGTGGTGGCTCAGTGTTGTCCGCTAGCTGTTGCTGTGGCAGTGCCCATGCGTGGGATGGGCAGAGCAAAAGGAAGGTGTAAGCACTCCTGCAGTTGCTGGAGAAACATCTCTATGTGCTTTGCCTCACCAAAACCATTGTCTGTCTGCTTTTCTTTAGTCTAATCTCTTAGATAACACGTTAGTCTGTTTTAGATTAGAATATTTTGTAGGAAGTACTACTTGGGCATTCTGAAGGTGATGATGTCTGACTGAAATGCGGTTAAATGGAAGAAAGACTTGAGGGGAAATAGGATGGGGAACGGAGCAGAGATTTTGAACATAATTTGGGAAGGACATCCTCACTGGAAGGTCTTGGGGAGTTTGCACGTCAGTCAGATATTAGTCCTGGACAACTGCTTTCCCTTTGAATTGGGGAAGTCAAGTGAAGAAGAGAGTGGTTAGGCTATAATTGCCTGCACAAAGATTTGGCAAAGAGGTATATAATCACAGGATCATAGGAAGATTTCTAAGAACCACCTAACTGTTGATGAGGAGTGACATTACAACTAGCAAACAGCAGCAGTGATTGTTTTTCTTCTGTTTCTGAAAGATGCTTAATAATCCCTCCTTACAGGTGTAGTTCAGAGAAGCTTTCTGAATCTGACTTGCTCTCAATTTATGGATTAACCAAAAGTAGGAACAATAAGGGAAACTTCCAAAAATATGCTTCTTAGGGACCATTAATATAATCTGAACACAAAAAGTCCACTGAAAGCTAGACATTTTGGCTAGAAAATATCACAAAGGAAGCTTCAGGAGTTTATTTTGGTTGTGGGTTTTGTGGGTTTGTTTGTTTTGGGGTTGTTTGTTTGGTTTTGTTTTGATTCTGTTTTTTTAATTGTGCTGCAAATTTCTCTCTTTGGTCAATCTGAGCAGACACTTTAAGCCTTAGAACAGGAAAAGTAGCTTTATTTGAAAAGACTTGGAGGATTCTGGTATTTCTTTACCCCTGGGCCACAGTAAATGCAAAGTTTACCTGGGATGCTCAAATCAAAATGGGTACTTCTGGCCTTATGGAAAGGCTGGGAAATGTCTCAGTTACAGCAATTTTTCAATAGGAGGTTATCTTTTCCACTGAATAACATGTTCATTTTAAAAAAATGCCTCTACAGAGTTTTTAGTTGAAAAGCTGTGGCTCAGAATTAGAAAAGCTGTAGCTGATAATTGGAACACTGACTTGTGGTTTAAGTACCTTATTTGCAGATCTCTGTGTAGGACTGTTCATAGATAGTCCCATAGCTAAGCCCATGAAAAAGAAGAGGAACACAAGCAACTAAATTGTCCATTCCCCCATTAAGATCTCCAAATAAAATAGTGCCAGATTTCAAATGAAAATTTGTCTTGCAGTTTGTATGTTTTGCTTAAAAGTCTGCATTTGCATCAAGGGAAGGTAAAAACAGGCACCTGAATCATCTTCTAGCCAGCTCAATCAATTAACAATAAAAGCCCAGCACGTGTTGCATAATAATTTCATTGATCATGTCTGCAATCGTGTAAAATCCAGTTTCTCTTTCTTAGCACTGGGGGCTGTTGCCTTATTACACAGTAAAATGAGTCTTGGGAAGAGAAAGTGGTTAAAAAGTAAAGAAAGTTATCTGACCTTGAATTGCTACAAAGATCTTGGGAATAGTAAGGCCCTGTCTAGGGTAAGTGATGAAGAGCATGCTTGCCAGGCGTGTGCCTGGATCAGCAGTGGTTCAGTGCGCACCTGGCAGAAGTTTCACTCTTACTTTGATAAAATGTCTTCTCCCAGCATGAATTAAAGTAATGAATCTTTTATTTCTAAATTACTACAAGGCTCTGTAGTCTATCAGCTTAATGTGAGTTTTTTTCTAGTTTAAAATACGTAATGCAATCTATGCCTTACCTAAGGAGTTTGATGGTATTGTATGCTTAATCTTTAAAATGCTGGGGAGGGGGGCAAAGCTTTGCTGTCAAGGGAAATAACCATCCTGACAGAGAGAAAAATATCAGTAGGATGCTGCCACTGATTTGGCAGAGACTGTTTGATGCTTTGTTAGCTGGCTGTTGATTTTATGGGGTTTTTTGTTATGTTTGAGGGCGCTTCCAAAATACTGGTCTTTTTAGAAGGTACAAGATATGGGTACCTTCATTCTGATACAGCAAAATTCAGAAGAATACACAGCAAAAAGAGGAACTGTAAATTGCTAATGAGAAAAGTTAGAACTGGAGACACATGTGAATGAAATTAAATCTCCCTCCAGCCAACATGGATAGTGCTCTGAAGAGCTGTGCCTGTTTGACTGCCTCCTTCACTGTATGCTCTAGGCAAAAAGATCTGTTGCACAGGCTTTCCAAGACCTGCACAGCTACTAGAGCCTTTCCTAATAAGAACTAGTAATTTAATGTCTGTGTATGAAGGTACATTCAAGAAACTTACTTTTTGATCAGCGTGGAGTCTGCCTGCCACAGTAACCATCTGGAGCCCAGAAGCAGGCGGAGGCAGCAGGCTGATGCTTCTCCTCCTCCTGCCAAAAGATGCAGGTGTAAGAGCATAAAACCTGCCCTACCAGAGCAGGTCCATTTAATGCACCCATTGGGACTGAAAAATGCCTCTGCTTGTGGCTTTAACAAATACCATGAAAAATCATCTCAGCATCTCATTTTCTGGCTCTGGTAGGGAAATGCAGTGTTTCTGTTGGGCCACTCCACCTTCTCCCTGCGGAAGGTATCTGAGTGTTATTTTAGGCACAGGAATGTTATCCAGAAGTACAGACATAACAAACAACTGGGGGAATACCAGGGGGTTTTATTAAATATAGCTTTACTTTTTCATTGTCCCTGTAGGACACCCCATTGACAACAAGAGTGCACAGCAGGGAACAGACTACTTATATGCATCTATATGCAGCAGAAAACGGTGTCATTTTTGCAAATACCTCTCGGAAAAAAAAAGACTGTTATGGATAGTTGATTTTACAGGACATCTCTAACATCTCCTATGTTATGTGCCGCTACATATTTGCATTGAGGCTTGCAAGCTGACTCTTAGTTCAAGCTAAATAAAATGAAAAATTATATAGGGTAATACAGCAGTACACCTTTTCTATTCTATTATGCATTAAAGAACTATTTTAGGACCAAAGCACCTGGCAGCTGTGTCCAACACAGTCACCCTCTGCTCTGTCGGATTCAGAAAGAAGGGGAACAAGTAGCAAGGAGGGTGAGGGCTGCAGCATTTCCACCAAAAACTTATTCATGCAGGTGCAGCCTGGGTTCAATAATCTTGCACCAGGAAAAAGTGAACTCTGGGAATAGTTCTTCACAATCAAGTGGCTTCAGTTAAATAGGTTTCTCTTTTCTATCATACCAAAGTATTAACTTTTTAGGCTTTGCTTTTCTCTTGTGGTGTGATTTTTTGGTAAGTTTGTGTCATTCTTTTAATGAGGGTGAAAGCCTCAAAGCTCTTTTTAGTTATAAAAGAAAGATTAGAGGCATTCTGCCTATTCCACTTTTCCACAGGGACATTAATTCATAAGCAACAGAGAACATTATAACTGTTTACAGTAGCCCTCAGCAAGCAGCATGAAACTTGGGGATTTTGAAAGAAGTAAGAGCATTTAGCTACAGAATCAAAAACTAAATGAAAAGCTTCAAACTCAAAAATATTTGGAGTTGCTCAAACAAGCACAATGAAAAATTATCAACTTGCCAACTTTTAGAACCATGTGAATCTTCAAGCTTGTTTTATTTTGTTTCTTTTCTGAGCTTCAGAAACCAAAGCAACCCTGAAGGTCAAAATGTCTAAAATTTTACCTTTACACGTGTCAAGGTCTACTCGTTTAAACACATTGTTCTGCTTACATAGGATATTTTGCAAATTAACTGATGCTGCTTGGTGGTGTATGAGATACTGCAGGTTTCAGCTGAGCTTCATGAGATGGACAGTGTCTGCTCTCATATAACGCACTTACCTTCTCAGGCTTACTATAACATACATCCTAGTTTTCTTGAGATCCAGGGTGTAGCATTATTTAGCAATCATCTTCAGTCATTGGGGTAATTTGGCCAAGGATGACCAGTTTGCTTCTAGATAAAAATGACTCTAGGAAGGCTATTGGTGCTGCCTGGAGTTTGCTTAAAGGTGTTTATTTTGTTTCCCCAGAATGTTTCTCAGCTTCCCTATGGCAAAGCCCTCTACACATATGAGGGAAAAGAGCCTGGTGACCTCAAGTTTAACAAGGGGGACATCATCATACTGCGGCGGAAGGTGGACGAGAATTGGTACCACGGGGAGCTCAATGGGAACCATGGCTTCTTCCCTGCCAGCTACATCCAATGTATCAAGCCTCTCCCACAAGCTCCACCTCAGGGCAAAGCACTTTACGACTTTGAAATAAAGGATAAAGATCAAGACAAGGATTGCCTGACCTTCACCAAGGTAGGGGAATAGGTTTTAAAAAAAGAAATTCAGAAAGGGGCTTCTGTAGGGAAAGATGGGGCACTTGTGGTGCTGGTAGCTGAGTCAGGAGCACAGTGATGCTAGGGACTGGTGGGACACCGTCCTGGCCTCCCTGGAGCCCAGGGACCCCCTAAACTCTGTTTTTCTCAACTGGTTTCTTTTATGAGAAAATGAAAGTCCTTGAGCTCAGGCAGCCTAGTGGAGACAGGCTGATGGGGCTAAATTTCCTTTATTAAGTGGGATAATGCCTCCTGTAACATGCTGAAGGACACTGACTTTTTCCAACTTGTAAATCCTCCTCTTTCATGGTTTCAACCTCAGCCAGCAGCCAATCCCCACACAGCCACTAACTTACTCAGATCAAGGAGAGAATTGGAAGGGTAAAAGCTGGAAAATTTATAGGTTAAGATAAATACAGTTTAATAAGGAAAGCAAAAGCCATGCACACAAGCAAAGCAAAACAAGGAATTATTTCACTTGTTCCCATGGGCAGGCAAGGTGTTCAGCACGCTCAGGAGAGCAGGGTCCCATCACTCGTAACAGTGAGCATGATGCCATATAGTATTGAATATCCCTTTTGGTCAGTTTGGGTCACCTGTCCTGGCTATGTCTCCTCCCAGCTTCCCATGCACCCCCAGTCTCCTTGCCCACATGGCAGTATGAAAGGCCTTGACTCTCTGAAACCAGTGCTCAGCAGTAACAACGTCTCTCTATTGTCAACCCTGTGTTCAGCACAAATCCAAAACACAGCCCCATACCAGCCACTGTGAAAAAAGTAAGTACCCCAGCGCAAACCAGCATATCCTCCCTGCAGAAGCAGAGCCTGCTGGGTGTCCCTGCAGTGTCCCATGCACCAGCAGTGCTGCAGGACTGGGTAGGCGTAAAGACTCCCATCAGGGTCAGCCCTGTGTAAGCATCATTGGGAAATGCCTCCCATTTTGTCTAAAGGAGAAGCCACTGAGACAGCTCGTGCCATGTATGGCAAGGTTGGTATAAAGCTAGTGAAACTAAACAAGTAGAACTGGCTACACGCTTTCTGAGAACATTTTTTCTGTCTGAGAAAAATACATTTCATCTGCATTGAAATGTTCCCCAAGAACAACTCAAATTTCAGAAAAAAATCTAATGGAAATGTCTCTTTTAATGTTCCTTGTTGAATCAGATGTTCCAGTGTTTTAAAATGACATTCAGCTTCAAAATGTATATTTCATCATACCATATATCAATTAATAGTTGAAATATACTACATCAAAATATATTGCAGTATTTCCTATTTTAAGAACATAAAAAGAGTAAAAAGTAGACATTTAAAAAACAGTTTTTGTTTTTTTAAAACCAAAATGTTTAATAAATTCACACTGGAATGAGAGAAAACTGAAATATTGTAATTTCCTTTGGATTTAAAATGTCACATTTTCTTTCACCCCCACCTCCCCACCTACTTTTTGCCTCCCCCTCCCTTCCCTAGCTGTTTGTGTTGACCTTAGATGGGTTTCATGGATATCAAGAAACCCACAGTAAAATAAAGCATATCCTCTATTGTTAATTTATGGCACTGAATGCCATGGAGAACCTGTTCATTGCAATTTTCTGTTTTATTTCAGCTGTCTGTGGCTGTTACAGTATCACATAAAGTAATAACAGTTATGCTGAAAATGAATATGAAATAGATGATAAAAATATCCTTCACCAGGATTTTACTGACCTCCTCTTTTGAGGCTACTTATTATAGCTGAATGAATCATTTGCAGCATATAATTTTCTCACCGAATGTAACCTCTTTTTCACTCATGCAACGTTTCTCAGCAGAATGCAATTTCCTACCCTGTATACTTTCTCATATTTATTTAACAAAAGATTTGTAAGCACTTTTGCTCCATAGCAAGTGAAGTGTTTGATTGCAAACACTGCAAGCCCTACAACTAGCCAGCCTCCCTGGAGCTGTGAATCTCTGTGAGAAAGTGGGCTGCTTAGTGAGAAGTAACAGCCATGAACTAACAGAAAATTAGACAGAAGTTACCTTTGAGATCCTATCAGTAAATATAAATTTGCTGGTGCGTTGTTTTCCTTGCTGCTTGCCCAGAGGTACACTGGAGACTTCTCTGAGAATGCAATCTTCGTTGTCTGCCTAAAGTATTCATTGCATGCACAATCTAAGAAATTTAATAGGCACAGCAGGCAGTTGTGGGTTTTTTTGTTAGAACAGATCCTTTCCTAGACACTTTCGTATTTGATATATTTGATGCCATATATTAGTATACCTCCTTTACAATAACTGCCTTTGTATAGTGATAGTTCTCATTTTCTCAGCTGTCCAGTGTCGTTCTCACAAGGAGCATTTCTTTCTGCTGTATAGCTATACTGTCAAGCTCTCAATTTGCCTTATTTTCATCTCTCATGTTACTGTCTGCATCCTTTTATCCCTGATGACTGTGTTTTTCCCAAGGGGGTTAGGTTTCTGTTCTATTGCTGTTTTCTTCTTTAGCTCTTTCCACTACATGCACTGTCACCTTGTAACTGTTTTTATGTCCTGCCTATTGTTCTCCCTGACAGTGAATAATCTGTTTTTGGTCTTGAGACTTTACCGTCATGTTTTCATCAGTTTTCTCAATGCTAATTTTAGCTGTCACCTGTGCTGATGAAGGTTTCTGTTTAGCCCAGATTATAGATCATCTGCTGATGCAGTCAGTTCCTCTGCATAGAGTCTTGTGTACTGCAGTGCTGTAATGTGATTTGTCACTTTGGGCAATATGCATCATTTGAATGTCTCAGTTTGCATCTGAAGATGCTGGACCTGATCTCAACTTTATTTAAGCTATTTTTTCCTTCCTCTGGAAGAGAGGTTGGTTTGGCATACCATTTATACAAACTAGTATAACCTATTTGTGCCCTGCAACTCATTTAATGCTTCCAGACACTCGTAATTGGATTTTATTTATAAACAGATAATAAAGTTTCCCTCTAAAGAAAAGCTATAAAAAGGAAACACAAACATAGGGATCTTCTCTATCATTGCGTTTTGTTGCTCTTTTGCTGGGCTTTGCTTTTTCCCATCCTCTTTGTTACTATACACTCAGAACACCTATTGGTGCAGTAAAAGAAAACAAAGGAAGGATATTTGGTGTTTCTTCTTACTAGTTTGTTTTATTTTGTTTTATTTTTCAAAATTCAAATGTTCTGTTGTTCCAGAGGTGTATTGCAAGGAAATGAAGTCCGCTTACAGATCTTCATGAGCAGTGCTGCAGAGGGCTTCTACCATTTACCCATTTTCACCTCCTGTAGACACTCTCCAGATTAAAGGCCAAAGATAACCCAAATATAATAATTTTGTATGTGTTAGAATAAAACCAGGAGGGGCAGAGAAAAATCTGTCTTGAGTATCCAGTGCAACAAAGCTCACGCTTGTGATTCCCTTACACCATGTGGACTGCTCCCTCAGCTCATCCTCCCAAATAAACCACACATGCAGGCATAGGGTTCCGCCACTGTTCTCTCCTCTGCAGTAACTACAAGATGATAGAACATCTCAGATTTGCTACTTAACATATTTTCCATCAGTGCTTGTCAGTGATCAGTCAAACCAGGCAGTTAGCAGTTATTTTTTCTCTGTAACAACTGTTTTCAGCCTTGTGTCGGCTTTGCACCAGTTTAACTCTAGTAGCTTCAGGAATTTTACTCCTAATATTCCCTATGTGGTTGCAATCAGCATGTGGCCTACAGAGCCTAATTGCATGCCCTTGGGATATACTTATTGACTCAGCTTTCTAATCTTACCTTACATGCTACACAGTATGGGCTTAGGCTCCTGCTCTCTCTGTTTTAAAAAATACTCTGTCCTCCTTTGGGCTATGCACTCTCTGGTACAAACATGTGCAAGAGGATTCTTTCAGGTACAGCAGTGCAAATCTGTAGTAATTGCGTTGTTGTTTGTTTGTGTAGTTACTCCACCCTTAGACTGAGTCCAGTCTCAGCCCACAGGTTTGTTTAGGTGTTTGACCACCCTTTGCATGTGTGAGTTCACATGGCCTCTAGAAGGCTGAATCCCAGTGGTAGATGAGTCTCAGACACGTCAAGGTAGCAACAACTGTTCACCATGCGTTATTGCTCATCACATTTTTAATAACATCAGCTATTTCCTTCATTTTCCAACAGTTTTGTTCCCAGGCCACAGTGGTGTTTAACAAATGCTGTGCCAGTCTTAAAACCATGACATCCAGTACTGGTTCCTGGCTGTGGAGCAGCATCCCAGCCCCTTAGCACTCAGTTCAAGCAATATTTGCTGTTCACAGAGAGACCATCCCGGCAATAGCTGGTGACAGGGATTCTCATGCCAGCTGGCAAGCGCTGTAACTGGACTCACTGAGCATGGCACAGTGCCATCCTGCCATCATTGAGATCTCCCCTGTGCTCGAGATGGAGTAGTTATCTCTGCAGAATAGCAGACACATCTGCTCTGTATTGCTTCGTTAATGGCCATCAATGACTAGAGTAAAAATCAGACTGTGAATCAGGACTGTTATTGGACACTTTTTGTGCTGTTTTCTCAGTAAAAAGATTCATTTCTCTGGCAATCAGACTGCTTTTTAAGTGATTTATCTTTGACTTCTTTTCTGATAATGATTATAAACTGAAACTGCAGGTCCCACATGCCTGTTGCAAGGCTGACCCAGCCCTGATGAATAGAGAGAAACTCAAGGAAGTAGGAGAGAGCAAATAATTAAAGACTTTAGCAACAGGCATAAAAAGAGCGCAACATATCTTTGTCCAAACTACAGTGAATACCATTTGCTTTTGAAATGAGATTTGAGGCTTGGATTCCTTTATGCTGCCTGGAAATCAATTTAGTCAATGTGAAATAGTGAAGTTCAGAAAGTCGAAGTGGTATGCCAAGAGATCTATGGCTTTTTACTATTCATGATCCTTTTGGGAATCTTTCTAGGAATTTATAAGTAGCACAGCTATCCAACTAGTACAAGGTACTAAAATAGTTCATGTTGAGGCTTTCACCAGCCCACTGTATAGAATGGTGTTGTTGGCTGTGAATTCAAAGAAACTTGCTATTAATAAAGAATTCCAAAGGATTTTTCGGGATTTGCTGTAATTCCTGGAGATTTTCAACACCCTTCTGAAAACTAATTATGTAATGGAATTCTCAAGGATTGCACTTTGCTCTCCCACGAAGATACACCTTTTGAATGTTAGCATATCTCAGGATGCTTTTCTCATATATGACATTCAACAGCCATACCTGGCAGAGCAAAACTAAGATCAGTGTATGGGAATGCTTCCAGATTTCATAGATCCTTAGCAGGTAAAGTTGAAAGGGACCTTTGAAGGTTACCCATTCCACATGAATAGAGTCAATGCAGGATAAGCCTTTCCTGCCAGGTATCTGTACAGCCTGCTCCAGGGATGGGATTGCACAGCGTCTCTAACAAAATCTAATAAAATGTTTCTGGGGTTTTACAGTTTAAAATTTGTTTCTGAATTTCTTATGTGTGTGTATATATGCAAATATCTATATACACACATACATTTATACTCAGTGTTGGGTTAAGGGTTGGACTCAATGATCTTAAAGGTCTTTTCCCACCTGAACAATCTATGATTCTATTCATAAGCTATGTATGCATTTACGCACATTATGTGTGTACACATAAATGTATAGTGAAAATGTAGACCCGTCAATCTTGGATTTTTAAAAATTCCTTTAAGGAAATAACTGAATAAACACAGAAAGTAGGAACACTCATAGCAGGTTCTTGAAGTGATGCGGTCGCTTCTTTTCCTCATATACCCCCTTTACCTAGATTCTACATTTATGATAATCAGTCTTTAGCGAGAGCATGTGGAAGCTTTGCAGATTACTGTCAGTTCTTTACACAGATCAAAAATGGTCTGGGCAGACAGGGCTTTGGAAGGGAATGCTATCTGTTTCTTCAGGAAATTAAATGCACAAATTCTTTTGCAACCTTCCAGCTGTAATAAATAGCTGAAGGACTCAGTCTGTGGCCATTTCTCTGAGCTTTCCCCTAATGGATCATTCAGATGAATAATTCAAAGGAAACATTTAAGCTATTTCAGAGTGCACATGTTCAAAATGCACATGTTCAAAAACTACAAAATACATCACATCACCCTGTTCTGGTTGTTTTTCTATCAATGCAAATCCACAGTCTGAACATCCTGGATCAGGAGTTTGTGGAGTTTTTTTCAACGTGAGAAGTACCTGCTAAAACACAACTCCCCTTGCCTAATCATTTAACATCAGCATCTTGTTACATGGAGGGTGGTAGACCATATCTAGCTCTTACTTTCACAGAGCGAGTAGTGGAAATAAAGTGAGATTGACAGGGAACTCTGTCTCAGCTTTCTGGAGGAAAAGATTTTCTTCTATTTTTGTAAATTTCTGCACAGGAACAGAAGAAGATTGCGTGCCATGAGAGAATGAAGATGACTTCCCAGCTTCTCTCAGCTCACTCTTTTCTTTGTTGTAGATCTGTCTATCCAGGCAGAGCCCCACAGAGAGGGCTGCCTTCTACAGCCGTTGTACCAAGCAGTGCTGGCTCAAGCCTGGGTTTAGTACAAGGACCCCAGCAGACAAGAGGTGATAGCAGAAATCCATTGGCAATCTGAGTAGCTCTGCTTGGGAAAATTCAGGGTTTGGTTCTAGTCACTTGAGCTTTTCTAATGACTGGTGTGTTCTAGGTTTTAACTATACGAAGAGAAAGTGTGAGCAGTATGAATCTGATTTGCACTGCTATACCTCCTGTTTTATAATCAGAAAAAATTTCATCAGCAGCTGAAATTCTTGTAAGGTCCCTTTGATTAAATATAATACTAACATGCCATTAGTTTTAGCAAATGAACTTGTGTCTGAACTGAAGCTGATCCAACAGTTGAATGCAATTTCTTATTTAGTATGTTGTCTTTGGATTTTTACCTGCTTTGCACTTTTACCTTCAAATTTTTATTTTTTTTTTTAAAGAAAGCTGACATTCAGCTTGTCAGCAGTGTAGGCTAGTTGCTGAGTACCTCATACTGTACCTTATGCTTCTTCTTGGAAGTTTTTCCAGGACTACCTGTGCTGTACTCATGCTTCCCTTTACATTGTCTTCTGGAGCAGCCAAGCATTACAACAGACCCTTGGATACACAGGGGCAACTTCATGCTAGGGAGTTTTCACCTTTGAGTTAGAGGTGATCTCCTGGATCAAACATTCTTCTCTCCCTGCAGTGAAGCCAAGAGCTTACCTGTTCCCACCTGCTGTGGCCAGACCCTTGGAGCTGCTGACAGCCAGCATGAGCTGCACTGGTCTGCAGCGTGCTTAAATGCACTTTGAATGGGATCCCTGGGGTAAGATGCTGGGCCAGGAATGCTGCTGGCCCAGGATCCAGGGAACATTTTTACCTGGTTTATTACATCCTCTGTGTAGTCTCTCTGTAAGCTGTCATGTGCATAACTAAAAATTGGTATCTTTCTTCTGAAAAAATCTGATTACGTATTTTTTTGTATCTCAATTTGAGGATGAAATTTTGACGGTCATCAGGAGAGTGGATGACAACTGGGCAGAAGGAATGCTGGGTGACAAGATTGGCATTTTCCCTATCCTCTATGTTGAGGTAAGTTCATACTGAGGTGATGGATGCTGGTCTTGATGTCTGGTGGGGGTGTTGTGCCTACAAGGTCAGGATAACCTCAAAAATTCTGAAATGAGAAGGTTAAATTACAACAGAATAACTGAAAAGGGATTTTTTTGGTTGCTGTGTGCTAAGGCACTAGGAGGGCACATCCAATTCAAAGTGGCCAGCAAAATATGTTCCCTGAACTGCTTTAAAGGCTTCCCATGTAGCATTTCTGATGTAATCTCCACAACACGTAGGGAAAATGGAAGAGGATGATTGCAGTTGGGGTACCTTGCACCCACCTGAGGAGAAGTGGATGTTGCCAGCTGGTGGGGAGCAGCAGTGCAGGTTCAGCACAGACCTTCAGAGGGGTGCTGTCGATGTCCCTGACCCCAGCAGGCAGCTCCACCCATATGCCCAAGGGCTCTCATTCCATGTGTACCAGACCCAGTTCTGTCCTGAGCTCTTTCCTATGGTAATTTCCATAGGAGTCTGATTTCAGAGTAAATGATGAGGCTTCACTTTCTCTGAGCAAACCTATTGTGCCACCTCATCCTACTGCTGCCACCCTCCTGCTGGGGGTGCCCTTCCAGCCAGATGCTGCTTGGGAGCAGGGCTGCAGCCAGCAGTGGTGGCCCATGGTGGCCCTTCTGGTGCAGCTCTGTTGTCCATGTCCCAGATGATGTCTTCAAGGAGCTTTTCTTCTTCGTGGGTGAACCAGGGGTGCAGAGAACAGATGAGCACCGTATGCATATGTATTTTTCCAAGGTGCTGCCACTCTGCACCCAGTACTCGGAGCAGTGTCCCTGTAACTCTGCTCCCAGACATAGTCTGGTGCCGCTCTCTGGAGTGAAGCGTCTCTTGTGCCCACAGCAGAGCCTGCTCTACTTGATGAGGCTCTGGTGCCTGCCTCCAAAATTACTTCTCCAGATTTCTTAGTTAATTATTTGAGACAAAATAGAGATAATTAGTGCCTGACTACCTAATTATTAACTCTGACAATGACCAATTTGGAATAAACCATCATTAATATACATTGCATTCCCACAGTTGAGAAGGACAATAATATTAAAACCAGAATGTGTAGGAGCCGTTATTGGCAAACCAGCTGCCTCGCATAAGTTAATGACTTGTTTTCTTCTATTCTAAATGCGTAACACATTTTCAGTTTGTTGTGATTAAATGAGAAAGCTGGGTTTCTCCCAGAATTCATTCTTTTTCCCTTCTTTTTCTTGTTCTGGGGAAGTGTGATGTTACTGTCCTGAACTTTGCTGCAGAAAGAGTGAACTGGGGACCTCTGCACAGTGAGCACCGTTACGCCCACCACCTTTCCCCAGCCCTAGTTTCATCTGCAGGCTGGCACTGCCTACGCACTATTCAGCATACTGATCCCTCTCCCACTCCTAGGTGTCTGTTCTCCTTAATTACTGCTCTCACAGGGCTCATAACCTCAGAAGAACAGCCCATTGGGAACATGCGCAATGTGTCACTGAAGTTCTCCAAGCACTAGCACATCCTGAGCTGTTGTGGAGGAGCAGGAGGTAGCACGATGCAGAGTCAGAATGGCAATGCTGGAAGTTTCTAAGGAGAGGCAAACAGCCAGCTAATCAGCACCAGGGGAGAAGAATGCATGTAGGAATGTCTGTGTGCATATACATTCATACACAGACACACACATAGATAAAATAAATACAACTATATACACTTACACATATATTTGTGTGTATACACACACACACACACACACACACACACACACACATATTTTATCTGTATAAATTTGAAATCTGGTGGCTTGAAAGGCCCTTTCAAATTAGGTATTTGGGTGCCATGATGTAATATTTGTGCATTGGTTTGTAAAGCCAAAGGGAAATGATCCTCCAAACAGCAATATCATACACCTATTTCATTCACATCCTGGTGGATGGAGGCCTTGTTCTAAATATGAGATGATCTTATGCAAGTATTGGAGTTATACAATTATTGTGCTGTTGCCAGCTTCAGATGCTACTTTACATTAGAAATTAAAAGGAATCAGGTCGAATCCCAAAGAAATTTTGAAAAGCTCAATGCTGATGTTTATAAAACACATCCATTAAACAAGTAGTACTTGAATCTAAAAACACCCCTCGAGTCTATCCAAGTCCATTAAGTGGTTTTCAAAATCTTGGCAAAATGTGCAGAATAAGCAAAAATTAACTCTTACAGTAGCCTTCCACTTGTGTGAGCCGATTGGCTGAAGTGTGTGGGATTTCACATGGCATCCTAAGCCCTGCACCCTGGATAGAGTGAATTCCAGCTTGGCAGGCTCTAATGTCTCCAGTTGCTCCCAGAGTCCAGACGAGAGCTCTTACCCTTGGTACAGCAGCCAGAGTATTAGAAAACAAGCCAGTCACTTCAAGGATGCCAGGGCTTCAATAGCGAGTATAATCCTTGTTGTGGCCCCCTTTGGTAACACTTTGTCCTGGCAATGTGCTGCCATACCCCTCAAATTGGTGCTTGCACAGAAGGCTTTTGCAGGTGCTTACAAATCTCTTGCACAAATAAGACACAGCAGGGTGGTGAGGAGGGGTGATCAGCAAATTCCTCTCGAGATGCCACTGGCCTCCCAGCACTTGGGCGTGTCAGCTGGCCCATGTGAAAGCCTGCAGTGTCTCCCTAGGCTCCATCTTCTTCCCACCTTGCACTTACTGAATTTGAGAGTGGTCTGCTTCTGTAAGGGAAGCCTGGGAGGGCAGCTTTTAGAGCCAGACTGTGGTGTCAGAAAGCAGAGGCACAAAAAATAGCCAAAGAAATCAAAATATATCTGGTCCCTGCAGTGTGTTAGGAAGTCTCTCTCTCAGCATTATGTTTGGTTGTCTGTATAGCCATATGAGTGTAACATGGCATGGATCTTATGCTTTATTCCCTACAAGTGTTCAGCAGGAGTGCTTGCATGCCTGCTGAGAGGCTTTTTCCTGCCTCTGTCCCAACCTCAGAGAAGCTGCAGTTGGATAAGGAATAAATATTTGCAGCTCACAATGATGTCTTTTATAGCGTCAGTCACACACAATATGTTCTGTCAGGGAGAGTTTGCACTATTGTTTTTTCTTGTTTTGTTGCTATCCTTCGTCTTCAGTAGAAGCCATTTGGGCTGATAATTTATGTTTTAATTTGTCTACAGAAAAAACACAACATAATCAAATTAATTCTCAAGGTGCCTTCTGTCCTGAAATAAACATCTTATTAATAATCTGTATGGTTTGAAGTCGTATTCTTGCTGGGAGGAGTTTTGGACCTTCAAGGAATTCTAAATCCTAACAAAATGTTTTTTATTTGCTGTCTTCAAGCTAGCTCCTTCATTCTTAGTAACTGCTGTCATTCTCTCTGTTTGAAAGTTGTGTTCTGCTGCTATGTGTAAAATTGAGGAATAATGGAGAATAAAGTGTGTTCTAATAGATTTAAATGTGTGGGAATGAAATTTGAGGGCAATAGTGTGCTGAGTATTTGGAGGGACGCATCCTGCTCTGATGGGCAGGAACTGGAAATTCAAAAAGCTGAGCAGTTAGAGCAAAATTTCTATCTTCAGCCCCCAGAGCAAGGAAGTATTGACCGAGATCAAGAAGCCTTATGTGTCAGTGGTACAGCAAGGCAATTATGTTGAGCGCTACTGTGACTGTAATATCTGCAAATTACAATTGATGAAGTGCCAGCCCATTGTTATAATGTTTTATGGCAGCAGGAGCACTGAAAGCTGTGATTAAGTAATATTAAGAGTTTTAAAATTCTTTTTACAGAGCAGTGAAGCAGGGTAATAGGAATCTTCTCCTGTTCTTCACAGTCAAAAAAAAAAAAATGGAAAAGGAGGTCTAGGAGAAAGAGGGAGGAGGAGAATGGGAAGAGCTGATGGTTTCAGTGCCCTGCAGCATAAGTCCAGAAGACTCCTCTGGGAAAATAATTCTTGCAAGTCAGTTTTTAAAAAGAGTTCAGCCAGAAGTGAAAAAAAATAAAATCCAAAGCCAAATTCATTTCTTAAGGTAAACAATGATTTTTCATTCCAAAATTAGCTTTGCAGAGCAGACCATCCCATTTAACAGTTTTGTGCTGTACCACAGGATCTAAAACAGCTTAACCCGTACAGGGGAACCTGAGCACATTTACCAGGATCCCAGCCGAGGTTGTTGAATAGTGTCATGGAGACCCATCTTCCCAGTAAAATTTGTCCTTAACTGTGTAACTGCACTTTGCTGAGGGTATCCTTTTGCCAGCCTGCAGATGAATGCAAATGGTTTAGACTTTCAGTCTGGATGGCAGATTTTGTCCTTTTTTTCCTCTATATGCAGATTCCCATCTTAGCCATTTCCCAGTATGGTGGTGTCCCCAGTGGCAGTCACCACACTTACATCCTTGAAAATTCAGATGTGTTCAAGTGTGCATTTCTACCTCTAATAGATATTTTGACCATTTTCAGCAAATAACTGTTGCCCTGTCCACTTGTATGTATTTTCTCTCTCCTCGGTCTGTTTGGTTTCTACCTTCAGCTGCAGGACAGATGGGTCCCTATGGGACTCTTACAATGAATTCAACCTTGATGTCTGACCTGTCATTTATGTATGTGTGGTCTATGTGAATCTTTCAGAGTATCTTTTATGAAAACCTTCAAAAAAAAATCGAGCATTAGACATTTATTAAATAGTAATGTTTGTTTGGTGCCCTTCTCAAAAAGAACAGGTAATCTCTGTTCTTAAGGACTGTCAAAATGGTTCATTTTAACCTTGCTAGTATCATTTAATGCGAATAAAAATGGATGCTTTTGAAAGGTGGGTAGATGGAAACTAATGTAGATTATTTTAGAAAAGCTGGCTTACTAAATCTCAGAGGAGCAAATTCATCTCAGTAGTAAGTAGGTGTAACACTAATGAGGTAAGAGTTATACCCATTAACATCACAATTGAGGTTTTTTTCTGTTTTCTCTCCTTTTGTGAATCAGATAAAAATGGATAAAGAACCTTGTAAAG